GAAAAGATAAGATTCACTAGAAAAAGAGAATAATGCTAGGAAAAGTGGAAGGTGATAGGAAAAGAAGAAGGCCTAACCTGAAATGGACTGATTGAATTAAGGAAGTAACACACTTTGTTTTGCAAGACCTGTACTGGTCTGTTATGGTAGTAGCTTTTGGAGATCATTAATTCATAGCATCACCATAAGACAAGTGGGTTATTGCCACATAAAATCATATACGGTAGTGCCTCACTTAACGGGCGCCCCGTTTAAGGACGAATCTGCATAGCGAAGAAGAGTTTGCGATCACTTTTGTTGATCGCATTGCGGTGTTCCCTAAAGGGAAAATCGCTTTGCGATTTTTCCCCATAGGCCCCATTTTCCCCCAGCTGACCAGTGGGGCTTCGGACCTTCCAAAGCTCCCGCCAGTCAGCTGGGGGAAAATGCCGGAGGGCGCTGGGGAGGGAGGGCGGGGGAACCTTCCCCCGCCCTCCTGGCCAAGCGCCGGCCAGTCAGCCGGCCGAACAAGCAGGGGTGCGCTCGGGAGAAGGAGCCTTCCTCCGCCCTCCTGGCCAAGCGCCAGCCAAAAAAGCAGGGGTGCGCTCGGGAGGAGGAGCCTTCCCCCACCCTCCTGGCCAAGCACAGGCCGGTCAGCCGGCCAAAAAAGCCGGCGTGCGCTCGGGAGGAGGGCGGGGGAGCCTTCCCCTGCCCTCTTGCCCCAGTGCCAGCCCCATTTTCGGGCAGCTGATCAGCGGTTCCAAAATGGCCGCCACAACCATTTTCGCGCGATTTCCTCGCTTACTGAGGGCGCGAAAATGGCAGCGCTATGGAGGATCTTCGCATAACGTTGAGTTTGGGCCCCATAGGAATGCATTAAACGAAGTTTAATGTGTTTCTATGGGGGTTTCCCACCTGCATTGCGATGGTTCCGGATAGCGACGATTAATCCGGAATGGATTAACATCGCTATGCGGGGCACCACTGTATTAGTCTTTTGTATATGCTTCAGTATCCTAAGATACTCTGGCTTTGACCTCAAGGTGCCCATCCTTGAACAAAAGAACTTCAGAGACATTCTAAATGGAAACAGCTGAACAAATGTGCATCAGGAAGTAATACTCCTCTCCTATTGGTTTGAACAGGAACAGAGGATTTTCATCTCAGTACATATGTCAACCTGCTCATTTATGCAAGGTTTGTAATACAACCCATTTTTGCATGTTTTATGACAATTGCCTAGTCAGTTTTCTCTATTCTGAGTTTTCCATTCCTATCCCCTTATGGTTTAAATCTCCCACCATCTATTATATATCTATTATACAATTTAAACTCTTGTACCTAGCTTGAACAAATACTTTTGTTCACTCTGTATGTGTTCTGTGCTGTCAAGTTGGAACTGATTTATAGCGACCTTAATAGGGCTTTCAAGGTAAGGGAGATATTTAAGGAGTGGTTTTACCTGGCACTCTGGTAAAACCTCTACCCCAGTGAGTTTCCATCGCCAAATGGGGATTCAAACTCTGTTCCCCAGAATCCTGGTCTATCACTCTATCCACTACACACCACACTGGGAATTTCTTCAGTACTGTATATGTATGTTAATCTGCTTATCTATTTTTGTGTGGGTGGCCACCTCTACTGCCTTGCTGCATGGTATCGAAGTTTCTGACATCTGTCCAGCAGCCACCTGGTCTACGCCTTTGACTTTTGTCACACACTATCGTCTAGACGTCAGGGCCAAGGAGAAGAGTTTTGGCAGGGCTGTGCTGACTTCGATGTTGGTGTGATGGCCCTCCATCTGGTGAATTAGCTTGCTGGTCACCCATTCATGTGCATTCACAGGGACCACAAAGAAGAAAGAGAGGTTACTTACCTATAGCCATGGTTCTTCACGTGGTACTGTGTGAATCCACACGTCCTGCCCATCCTCCCCACTGTCCATCACTTGCTTGTCTTGGAGCTTCAGAGCCTGACAGCGGCTAATACCTGTGCACTAGAGGATTGTGGGAGGAACACCTAGCCCCTGATGGGGGTCCCACAGGGCACCCCAAAACACTGAGGAGCTCTCTTGACCTCTGGCAGGACTGGGGCTGTGCAGCCCTTTACTGAGTGGGAGGTGCAGCCAGGTGATCACCATGACTTGGGGGGTCAGGGGACAGAAGGGGGTTTCACTCCTTTTACCCTCTTTCTCTCTCCAGCAACAAAGAAACTCTTTCTTTGTTGCTGGAGAGAGAAAGAGGGAGAAGGCTATCTGAGACCCATTGAATTTCCAAAGGCAGTGCAGGTGAGGGGATTGCTTTTCCCCAATATGGTATGGGGAACTGTGTTTTGCAAGACAATGTTTTCTATGGATAATTTTCGCAAGACGGTGATTTTTTCCCCCAATTGGAACACATTAAATGGATTTCAGTGCATTCCAATGGGGAACTGGGTTTCAAAAGACAATGTTTTCACAAGACAGTGATTTCAATGGAACAAATTAAAATCGTCTTGCGAGGCACCACTGTACATTTTCAGGGAGGCTGTACAAAAGGCACAACAACACTGTCTCGGAATATGCTGTATCAGGAAAGAAAGTACAAAGTCCAAGAGATCATGAGCATGGTTAACAAATTGTGTCAAAGAAACTGCTAAAGGAAAACCTCTTGCTTTCAGGAAGTGATTTTGCTTCATTTGGGAACAAAAAGTGCAATATCAGTGCAAGCAGACAATAAAGAATGCAGAAAAGGGTTTCGAGGAATTTGCTGCTAATAGCTTTATCCCCACAGTAAAAAGGTTTTAAGTACTGTATACCAATCAGCAGAGAATCAGTGACAGATATAGTTCAGTAATTGAAGCTGTGGTGTTTAAGAATACTAAAGGAAAATAAGATAGAGAAGGTAAATGACAGCTACAAGAAGTACTTGTCCTCAAAATGCATAGTTAACTGTGGAATCTTGCAATCATAATAGGTGATGCCGCTACCTTGGCCAACTTTAAAGGAGGATTGGACAGGTTCATGGAGGATAATTTTATCATTTTCCATGAAAGATGCGAATGTATAACCTCCAGTATAAGAGACAGTTTGCCTGTATATCCAAGTTGCTGGGAAACACACACAAGAGGGTGCTGTTTCTAGCCACTAAATGAGCAAAATGATGGCCAAAATAAGCCTTTGTTCTGACCCAGTGATTCTCTTTTGTATAAATTTGTTTTCAATAAGCACTTAGCAGTAATTATGAAGTATTATGTTCTTAACACATTGATTCAGTGGGAAATGGTGTAGGGGGATTCATCTCCTCCAATCCCCTATGCCTATCTCGACAGCTGAGGCAGGGGGATGGTTGCTGTAGAAGTCCTTGTGCAAGAGAATGTGTTTTTGTATTAGATTTGGTGATCTAAAGAACAGTATCCCATTTGGTTAACGAGTATAACATTCCTTAATGTAGATCAGATAGCTTCACCAAAACAATGAAAGTATTTGACAACTTTAAGGTGTGTCTCTTGAGAAGCAGGTTGTAATCCATGAAAGCTTGTTATGAAATAAACTTATTAAAGGTATCACAGTACTTCTAGTTTTGGCTTGTTTTATGTGCTGAAAAAGAATAACACAGCTGCCTCATTAAAGATTCACAATATTTCCAGCCATATTTTTATTAATTTTATGTGATTATTTCTTGTTTTTGAGAAATGCGCAAACATTTGGCATGTATTTCAAATACACAGCTTAAAAAGAAAGCTGTGTGAGTTACAGATAATTAATGGTTATATGGAAATATGTTAATATGTCAAAAGGCTTTCAGTTGAAATTACATGCAATTAAATATATAAAAATAAAGATGGTGGCTCTAGGTAAATGTAACTCCTAGGCAACAAAAGCAAGAGAATGTTTCCATGTTTTTAGCTGGAGTAAAAATAGCCATTCTAATACTATAATATGCCTGTCTTCCATATTCATTGTGCTGACATTCTGCAGACTGCTATCTTTAACACTGGAAAACCTTTTTGTATCTTCATTGAAAGCTTTCACAAGAATGCTTCCTCAGGCATTCCTTTGTTAGTCATATGTTTATATTTAGCACTAAATTTCTAAGAAGGCATGGGATGAAATTTCCTCAGTTCCATTAACAAGTTCAGTAAGGGACTGATTTTCCATACTCCATGCAACTGAATTATAACTTAACAATGAAAATAATGCTCTTTCATATGTATGCTTACAAGTCATCTTTGTATCTGTGTGCTAATATGAATAAGTCATAGTTTATATGTAAACATGCAAAGAAAAGCAAAGTGTGTTGCTTATGCACTACCTCTTAGTACTTAAAGTACTCTGGGCGGTTTACAGTTTAATTGTAAATTGTCCCCCAACAAGCTGAGTACTGACTTTACCAGTCTCAGAAGGGTGGAAGGCTGAGTCAGCTGCGAGCATATCGAGATCAAACTGAGCTCATGGGCAGAGTCTTGATTGTGGTACTGTATTTTAACTATCACACTACATTATGAGTAACAATAGTGAATTTACCTGTGATTCCTAGTATAAATACTTCTTTCGTTCAAGAAATAAATACAGATCCTATAGTGATATGCCATTCACTGACAAAAGTGACTTTCATTTTTACCAGCAAGACCATAATGTTTCGAAACTGAGAAGAAACATGTCTTAACTTAGCTCTCCGAGACATATTTGATGGGACAAATGGTAAAATTTGACCTTTCTTTCACTAAATATCTAGTCCACCTCCAGCTGAGTGAGTGTTAAGTGAATGTTTTTGTTAATAGTACCATAATGCAAACATCAGCCTTCCTTCCAGTGCATTGTGAGCGAAACATAAAGTGAAAATCACTGCATGACTTATCCATTCAAAAGTTACCAGGGCTGTCACCTAGCAACATTCTTTGTGTGGAGTAACATCTGTTGAGGTTGCAGATTAAAAATAGGTATCTACATGTAAAGCATGAAAAAGTGGGTTCAAGGATACATATTTTTAATATGAGCTATTTTTATTGTTTGGTGGTTTTGTTTTGTTCTCTCCTGGTAGGTCACAGTAATGAAAGGCAGCAATAGGAATAAAGATAATTCAACAGACGGAGAGGGAACTGGAAAACGACCAAAGAGAAAGTGTCTTCAGTGGCATCCATTGCTTGCAAAGAAAATCCTTGATTTTTCTGAAGAGGAGGAAGAGGAAGAGGACGAAGAAGAGATTGAAAAGGTAGACCTACCCCATCAAAAAGAAGATTTTCAGTAGGACATCCTCTAGAATTTACTATCTGTATACATCTTCTGAAGCATTAGAAATTTACGTCCGTAGCTTAGAAAAGTCATTTCAAAGAGGTCACTCAGTATTAATACTGTGGTTTATCATATTCATAGTTTGTTATATTTTTAGGGAGTCTTGTTCATAACAAGGCAGAAAATCCTTGTTAAATTTAGTATGTTTTAAGGCCTGCATCATAGCCTGAATCCATGTAGTCCATCGTCCTGTCTCTACCAGATGCTCAAAATGTTCACAACAAGGTCATGAGAATGCGAGTCCTGTCCCATCTGTCTCTCCAGATATTGCTATTAAGAGGCATGTTCTTTCTGAATTTGGATAATGCCAGAGCTTGAAAGAAGTTACGTTTTTAGATGACAATTTCCTCTAGGGAATTAGTGCCATAGATTGTTAATTATCATAGTTTCATATAGTCCTGTTCATTTGTCAAAACCACTGTAAAGCCATTTAAACTGGTAGCCATGACTACATCTTGTGGCAACAAATTTCAAGAGTTCATTATCCATTGTGGAAATCAGTGCACATTATAGCACTTCCCACCCACCTGCTTCAAATTTATTTAAAGGCTTTATGTACTGCTCAAGATGGCTAATGCTAACAAGTGAAAAGTAAACATTGAAATAAGCATATATCCTCCATAATGAAAACCACTCAGGCAAGCAAATACAGTTTAGTGCAGGACCATGAAACTATTAATATTCCCACAGCCCTTAATAATAATAATAATTAATGATAATTATTAATGAGCAGCATACATACTGCACCAATATTTAACAGATACTTATGTTTCAGTGGTCCCCAACCTTTTTGACACCAGGAATTGGTTTAGTTGAAGATCATTCTCCCAAGGACCGGGGGTGGTAGGGGAGAGGTACTTGTTATGCAGTAGGTTGTTGGAGGATAGCTTTGAATTGAGTTCATAAAGGAAATGGCAAGCAGGAGGTGAGCTGCAATTGAAGCTCCATCTCCTCTTAGAACCTAATAGGAGTGCAGGCTCCTATTAGATTCGAATGCCACAAGCACAGCTGATCTAGCAGCAGCAGGAGGAGAGCGGGGAGAGAAGTTCCACCTCCTGTCAGATCAGCAGCGACATTAGAACCTAATAGGAGCATGCTGACAGGAGGCGGAGCTTTGCTTGTCACTCACCACCTGCTCATTACTTATCTGTCCCAGCCCTTCCAGGGCCATGGACTGGAGGTTAGGGACCCCTGTGTTATATAATACCAGTTAATATTTTTTATAATTTTATTTGGCTGTGTCTGTTGTTTTTAATAATAATAATAATAATAATAATAATAATAATAATATGCTGTCAATTCTGATTTATGGAGACCCTTTTAAAGGTTTTCCAGGCAGAGAATACTGTGAAGTTGTTTGCCATTTCTTTTTTCTTGGGGGAACCTGGGGCTATGCAGCTTGCCCAAAGCCATACAGGCTGGCTATACTTGCAGGAGGCACAGTGGGAAGTTGAACTCCAAGCCACTGGCTCCCAGCCAGATACCTAAGCCACTAAGGTATCTTAAATAGGAAAATTTTATTCAAATTGTAGAAGACCATTTGAGAGGGAGAGTTGAACTACGCTTGAGAATAAACCTGGCCATGGCCAAATTCTTTTAACTGAATATTCCACCTTGAACCTTTGTTTTTCTGAATGTAGTGTATCATTTATTGCTTAAATAATTGATCCCAAAATATCTGCTCAATTGTTTCTTTTGAGTGAACTACTTGAAATGCATGCTAATTGCAGATTTTAGGTAGAATCTCAGTTTAGATTTTGGAATCAATGATTAGTGGGCATTTACTTACTTAATTCATTTGCTACCCCATTAGTGCAAGCATTTCGCTGGGTGTTCAAGCTTTCAAAATTATTCAAAAACAATGCAGTGATGCACAGACAGTAATTAAGGCATAAATACAAGTAAGTCTATAAAATCTAAAATTAGATTAGTAAATAAAAATAAAAATAGAAAAAATAAAATCAATTAATCAATTAAAAATTAATAGCATTCAAGAGATACAGTTATTAAAGGCAATTGTAAATAATTCCATCTTTACCAGTTTTATAAAGAACAAAGACATGACAAGAAGTACTTGTCAGTGATATGCTTTACACATAACTAGGTCCATCTCCTAAGTTCTGATGGTCTTGAGCATGATGCAGAAGAGACAGAAGATGAAGAATCTTCAGAGCAGCGAGCTAGAAGGCCGATGAATGCATTCCTTCTGTTCTGCAAACGTCACCGCTCCCTTGTGCGGCAGGAACACCCCCGTCTCGACAATCGTGGTGCTACCAAGATACTGGCGGATTGGTGGTCTGTTCTAGATCCTAAGGAAAAGCAGAAATACACCGACATGGCCAAGGAGGTATACAGTCACATATTTTACTCCTCATACTTGAAAAACACAGTTAGCCATAGCAATGCAGTGATCAGCTACAAGGATTTTCATAGGTTTTCTATAGAAAGGCCAAAACATATGTGTAAATTTATTGATGTAAAAGTACGCAGCAGAAGTTGGATGATGTCATCATCCTGGTCAGTAAAATATAATTTACATTAAATGAAAGCTTCCTATCCTCTGCCCCCTAATTTCAGGTTCTGAAGCTCTCAAAGGTTCCTGTTTGCCCTGGGGAAGCCTTCATGAACCTTTGGATGAGGTGGGGGTCTTTAATAGCCAAAAATTGCCATTGATGGTTCTGATCCCTCCAGCGTTAATCCAGCAGGAGAGTTTTCCCCCCTCTTTATTTTGCTTTCTTTTGGTTCATTCCTTTGTTGGATTATTTTTGCTGCCACCTGCTGGACTCAAAAAAGAGACCAGAAGCATCAAGTGGGGTGTCTGTGTGTGTGTCTCTGTGTGTGTGTGTGTGTGTGTGTGTGTGTGTGTGTGTGTGTGTGAGAGAGAGAGAGAGAGAGAGAATCTCCCTGTATTCTAATAGTTATGATTATATCTTTACATCAGAATTGACTTGAAGGCCCATGCTGATGGTATTTTTTGTCTTTGTTTGCTTTCTTTTCTTGGGTTTTGGGGGAGCGGGCTGAGTGTGAATGTTTTAATTTGCCATGTTTTTTTTCTCTCTGTGTAGGGGGTACTTTCTGTTTGACTTTTTACAATTTTTATTTTATTAGTTTACTATGTACCTGTTGTGCTAAAGGTATATATTTTTGGGGTTTGGGTTATTGTTTTATTTGCTTGTGTGGGCCTGGGGGGATTTTGTGAATGTGTGAATTTGGTCTAAATGGGTGTCTGTACAGACCAGTGGTCTTAATTGAGTGCCTGTATAGTTTTGATGATGATTGTTCTTTCTCATGTACTGTTGTCTGCTTGGAACAGAGTGATTCCCTGTTGCCTTGCCTCTACTGTTTTGGAGTAATTTTCAATGGTTCTTTAAGGTTTTTTCAAGTTCCAGGATACCTGAATGGGAAACATGAGTGAAACCTTAAAGAGGCTTTCCCTTCACCAGAGGAAAGTTAGCATAGAAGGAACACAAATCATTTAATAAATGAAGAACCAGTAAATGGAAAATGCAGAAATGATAGAGAAACATTGCAAGAACACAAAAGAATTTGAGAAATTTTCACTCTGCACATCCCTTCCTGACTGCCTAGCTCAGAGTGTCCTCAGAATCAGGCCTTCTAAGAGGAGGAGTTACTGAAATCACCTGTTTCAACTTTGCTAGTTACTTCCTCTGCAAGACCTGACTCTAGGGATCTTGAGTTCTATGAAGGATAGCTGAATTTTCCTTATTATCTTCATACTCCCTTGGAATGAGCACCATGCACTGCCATCTCCCATCCCTTTCAAGAATGGGATACAGAGATCTGCATTCTCCCATGGATGGTCACTTCTTCCCTTATCTTTTCAGGAAGCATAGGGGAATGCCACTTATATCTCCTTGTCTTTCATTTTGGAGGAATGACTACAATTGCAGCTGTAGTCACCTTTCTCTTCATTTAGGAAGCAGCTGATTCTGTAGAGCTGTGCAAAGCAATGGCCACTGGTGGGAGGTAGCAGATTTGCTGCCCTCAGCGCTCCACTGTGTAAGGCAAATACCACAGCAGACCTGTTGGCCTTGCTTTGTGGAACATGAATCCTTTATTGCTTATCTAAGCCTTCTGATAGTGTGTTAACTCTTGAAACTCTCTCAGCCGTTTGAATTTGCTTATTCTAACTCTGGTTTCTAAGAATGATTTTCTGTTTGGAAGGAAATGTACAGTGGTGCCTTGCTTAACGGGCGCCCCGTTTAACGACGAAATCGAATAGCGATGAAGATTTTGCGATCGCAAAAGTGATCGCATTGCGATGTTTTAAATGGGCAAAAATTGCTTTGATGATCAGTACCCTGTTTCGCTTACCAATCATCGCAAAGCAATGATTTTTTAACAGCTGATTGGCGGTTCCAAAATGGCCGACAGGTTAAAAAAATGGCCGCCCGCTGTTGTTTGGAATGGATTCCTCGCTTATCGGGCAGCGAAAATGGCCGCCCTATGGAGGATTTTCGTTTAAAGGTGAGTCTGAAGCCCATAGGAACGCATTGAAGGGATTTCAATGCATTCCTATGGGCTTTTTTAAATCGCATAGTGACGAAATCGCTTTGCAGCGATTTTTGCTGCACCGATTATCGTCGCTATGCAAGGCACCACTGTAGTTTGAATATAGCCTTCATGAATGTAGCCTTCGCGAATACATAGTTTGATTTCTATTTATTTGTTTTGCTCAGTACAGTAGAGCTGCTTGAATAACAATAAGTAATTGCTGATTCCCCACTGCAATCACTGTGTATATTTTGATTATTGTATTTTTCATTGAAATCGCCATTGAAAAGTTGGATGAGAGTTACTTGGTTCAGTCTGTGTTGGGATGTACTAACTGCATGGTCCAAATTCCCTTTGGGCTCAGAACATAACATAAAACGCCTAAAGGCTTTTAAAGAAAGAGAAAGGAAGGAAGGGGGAAAAGCAGTTGATAATTAATGTTTGTTTTAAAGCAGCCAATCAAACTTGCTGGTATTTGCAGGATTTGACTTAGCTGTTTAGCATGAAGATGTATTATTGCTTGTGCTTTTATTTTTTCCTCTGCTTCTTTCCTTAGGCTGAAATCCAATAGTGAGTTTCTTGGTGTAAGCTCCACTTAAATCAATGAGTCTTACTTTTGAGTAAAGGTTTATAGGGTTGTTCTGTAAAATTCCTGCCAGAGTTAGCTTTCCTTCAGTATTTTGTGAAAAGATGAGAGGTTTAATTAGTAATACACTCAGAACCCAGGCTAAAGAGAGGCTCTGGGAGGAGTCATAAGAACCCTGTGGATCAACAGAACCATCAGCAAGCCTTCATTGTTAGTAAGGGCTATTGTTTTGAGACGCAAGTTTGGATGCATTTTTCTGTTGGCATGAACTTTGATCAGGCCTTGTAACTAATTAGCCTTTTCATCTTACTGAAATAATTTACCTTCCTGTTATGAAAACAAAAATGTTCTAGTCTAGCTAGGCCCAGTGGTTCTATTCAGGAGATTGTTGATCACCATAATCACCCAATCTCCTGCATAGGACAAAAAACTGATCTCATAGCTGTAAATACTCAACTATCCCACAAAGTGCACCAGAGCATAGTTCTGACTCCTGCCATTTGAAGATGCTGGCCACAGAAACTGGCGAAATGTTAGGAAGAAAAGCCTTAGGAACACAGCCAAACAGCCCGAAAAACCTACAACAACCATAGCCTAGAATGTTCAGCCCAATATTGTCTGTTCCAAGAACATGCATGCAAGTGGTGCCTCGCTTAACGACAATAATGCGTTCCAGGAAAATTGCTAAGAGAAAACATCGTAAAGCGAAAATAAAAACCCCATTGAAACCCATTCAATGCATTCCAATGGGGTAAAAACTCACCGTCCAGCGAAGATCCTCCATACGGTGGCCATTTTCCCTGCCTGTGTAGCGAGGAATCTGTCCCTAAACACAGCAGGGAGCTATTTTAATCACCCGGCGGCCATTTTGAAACAGCTGATCAGCTGTTCAAAAATGTCATTTTGCAAAGCGAAATTCCGCCATTTAGACCATCGTTTTGCGATTGCAATTGCGATTGCAAAAAGATCGTCGTTAAGTGGATTCGTTGTAACGCAGGGCAATCGTAAAGCGAGGCACCACTGTAAACATAAGTTGATTGTGCTCATTGTTTAATAGAGTAACTTCTGTAGCTGGTGGTACATCCTTGCCACTGGGTCTTTTTTAAACACACCCTTGTGGTAAAGTGTTCAAGAAAAATACATGGACAAATAGCTAAATTCGGTATTTGCTTTTAGATAAAGAAGATCCATTGAAGTCTGTGGCAGTGATGGTATTTGGGACCAGAACTCAGAATACTGTATTATATTTTTAAAGGAAATTTTTGTATTACTCAGTAATGCTAAGCAGCAATGTTACTGTTATTATCATTTATGCTCCATTTGGGCAGAATTTTTTTTATTGTGTGTTAGCAATGTGCTGTATTATTACAATCAACAGGCCAGAAAAATAAGGAAATGTGCTAAATAAAATTGCTACATCTGTTATGGAGATCAGCCAATTAAATGGACAGCAAATGCATTTCTAATAGTTTTATAGAGAGATCTCCCATACAGCATTTTCACAGAGCATGTATGACCTCTATACAAAAGCAGATTTACACCCATCTACCATCCCTTGTGTATGTTTCAAATACTGAAAACAAAGTAACTTGGAGTCTGTTAGAAGTATGTTTGTACTTACACAGTTTCTAAAGGTGTTTAATACACTTGAGAATGTAATAAAATGTCATAGTTTATACCCTTATTGCAGCCATAAGCAGTGTGGAAAGGTATTCTCCCTACCCTGTTTAACA